TTTTTTTTTTTTTTTTTTCGTGTCCCACCGGCATAGAGTCACACCAGGCGAAAGACAGAGCAGTGGAGACCTACGTCTGTCATACTGTTTCAGTGCGTATAGAAACATGCACCAAGCAGAGGACATGAAAATGGATCTCCGAATCCCTCCGGAGGGGAAACAGAACCCGATGATGGCGGGAGGAGGAGAGTCGGAATCCGGAACTGGGTCAGGCAGCGGAGGGAGCGATCTTCCTCCCGCCCATATACAAGGGATGCCTTGGTCTGGTTTTGCCCCCTTCTGGGCTAGTAGACCACGGGGTACTGTGAACGTGTTTGTGAAACAGGACATGGGGTAAACTTCTCCAAAGGAAAGGGAAGCGAGTGTGTAGGGAAGGGCAGCCAGGAGAGGGGGGGCGGGGGGAGGGGGAGGGGAGCTACTAGGGGGGAAGCTAGGGGGGAAGGCGACAGGAATGTGCAAGGAGTGAGTGCAGGGAGAGGAGACAGAGGCAGGGGGGGTAGGGGAAGGGGGGAAAGAGGAGGGTATGGAAGGGGAGGATTTGAATGTCGGCCCACCTTGGGGAATGCTGAGTGGTTCCCTGTGGATGAGGATGAATACAACAGTGATGAGGAGGGTCAGCAAGGCATGGAAGGCCACACTAATGGAGGGGGCTTGTCCAGTAACTACAATGAGGTGGAAGAAATCAGGAGGATGTTAGACAAATGCTTCGACCGTATGGTTATCCCGGATATGTCGAAATTCGCCAAGTTCGAGAAGAAGAGGAACACAGTTACCATGACAGTATCCCCAGTTGTCGAAGAGGAGTAGGTGGGATGGATGAGGATAATGTTGGTGTTGTCCTGTTCCAGGGCAACTTCAAATCAGTATCAGCGGATAGGAAGGAACAATGCATTAGGGGCTTTGAGGATTCCATTCTCCCGCAAAACCTCCACCACAAGGAGAGAGGCAGGGTCCACAGGGAAGGTCGTAGCGCTATGTCTTACTTTCCGAGGGATAAGAAGCTCATTGAAATGATGCTCAATATGAAGAGTCAAAAAATTAAAATTGACGGAACCACGTACAAAATGACATTCAAAAGATGGATGTCCCCAGCAGAGCTGGAAGCTGCCAAATCAGAAGCAGAGGGAAGTAGGATCTGGATCATGGCTCTGCGTGTTCCTTGGGTAGCAGCTCCCTTCGTGTGATCGCAACTCGAGTACGCAGTAGGGAAACTAGTCAAACAATACCCGCCGGAGCGGTATGATGAATGTCCTAAACTTAATAACCTTAAATTTGATATCCTCCGAGACAGGAAAGACCGAGTGCCTGAATTCCTTGATTGGCCTCAAGCAAATGGTACAGTCATCACCATTCAAGTTGTCACATAGATGACAGACTGGTGCTCCATGTGTCGAGAATACGGACACACCACGGTAACGTGTCCTCAGGCGATTGAGATCAACAATTTGCGGCAGAGACAGTCTGGGGTGGGGGTTCAATTTCAAAATCTTGGCACAACGGCAGTTCGGGCTCGGGGGGGGGTGAGGGAGGGGGCAGGTTGGTTACCCAGTCTCAACCAGCAATCCCAACAACCGCAGTCCTCGGCGCCACGGACAACAGAACTACACCCATCTTTCGTCTTTGGTCAGACTGGCGGACAAGCTCGGGGGCAAACCGGAAGCCCCAGTCCTTATCTGATAGCATCGGGGGCCCAGCTGGTCCCTGGTCCCACGCCAAGGCCGGTGTCTGCGCCCTCAACAGAGCTGTCCCAGGACTTTTCAGGACCTCAGGGAGGTCAGTTGTTGTCATCGACAACAACACCGGTTGCAATGGGGGTTACCAACCCTGTTCATGAGATATTACCCCCTAAGTCACAAAAAATAAACCGGTCCACACCAACCATACAATGCCAATAGACAACGGTAGTACCTCTAAAGGTAACCTCAGTCACCACAGATGGGGTATCAGTCAGTCTTGGTCTGAGCTTGGCCCCTGGGGAAGGTCCGGCGGTCACACAGTCGGCCCGAGGGAGTACGTGGCAGAACGAAGCTCCCACAACCTCGCCATACCACCTCAGACGAAGACCACAAACCAGGGAGGTAACCAAGGGGGAAATCAGGGGGAGGTGGGTCACAATATCTCGGGCAAGGTGTTCCAAGGTATGGTAGTGGAGGATAAGGACAGGAATGGTGTAGAGGGGGGTACGGATGTCAGCTACTCCACTCAGGCTGTACGTCCACGTGACTACATAGACACAGGAAATCTGCAGACTCACCCAGTCAATCCCAAGTCCACAGCTGGGGCCCAAAGTGGCTCAAAAAAAATAAAAGAGATAGCCAAACCAACAAGATCAGCGGAACCTTCTGTTCCGAAAGATGGGCCCCGAGTCTTATCCCCAGTCACTAGCGGGGCAGCTGGTGATATTTCTCCAACCCCCGTACACTTAGAGGAGGGATTATGGAAGCAGTCATCCCAGATGCCCTTGCCCCTCGGGAGTATACTATGGAAATCGAACCAACGGTATCAGAGGGATTGGGGGCATCCCCCAGCACATCGGTAGGGCCACCTGGCGATTCAGAAGGCTCCACCGATGAGGAATGTCCCTCCAAAGAAAGAGGGGAAGGACACTCTCCCCGGGGAAGGAAAGAAGGCAGAGAAAACTTGGGCCAACCCGTAGATCACAGGGTTCAAAATATTTGGTCCCCTTGATTTGCGGGAAGACCCCGGAACTTCCTCACGTACAGCATGGGCACTAACATAAAACTGATCACTCCGAAATCGGTCGACAGCAGCCCGTCACAGGCTGAGATGCTTGCAAAAGTCAAGAACTATCTGGGCAAAAACGCCCCAGTCAGATCTATTCCTGGCATGGGGACCAGGAGAATTCAGAGCACTGGTAATAATTACAATAGGGTCCATTTGTTCGCCGCCCCGTTCGAGGTCCGGCCGAGTGAGTCAGATCTGCAACAGCTCGAACAAAACAAGGGGGTGTGGTGCCCATTAGAGTGGGCAAAATAGGAAAATCTTCTCCACTCCAACATGGTTTATAACTTTATACAGCGGAAGGGATCTCAGGTGACGTGCTGGTTGAATATAACCAGCAACTTACAATGGACACAAACTTATTCTCTGCTTATTTCGACAGAATTTTGTCTTCACCTTGGCAAGGTAAGGGAAACACTGCAGATGCAGCAGACGACAGGAAAAGGAAAACCACACTCACCACACTTCAGTCAAGCACAGTCACAAGAGAAGCCTTGGTGGTGACGGTTGGTACAGCAAAGGGAGAGAAAGTTTCCGCTTTCCCGCCAGATGATGTGACCCTTATCCAAGAAACAGAGGGTTCGGGCCTTAATGAATAAACTCAAGGTAGCCTCCTGGAACGTCAGAGGCCTTGGGGACACACATGGTAAATTTAAATGGGCAAGGCTTAAGACATGGATTCATCAAAACGAAATCCATGTAGTGCTGCTCCAGGAGACTAAATTAGACGAAGTTAAAATACAGGAAGCAAAGTGGAAATAGCAGGGCCCCCAGTTTTGGGCCTCGGCGGATGGGTCCAAAGGGGAACCAGGATCCTGTTTCACAAGGATCTTTTTTTTGTTTGATGTTACCAATAATAACATTGAGGCTGGGGTCCTCACAGTCTGCCCGGAGTGATCGAACCGAAACTGCTGAGAACCGGGCTCAACGTCCCTCAAATGGTTATGATGGTGACCATGATGATACTAATGATACCACAGATGGAAGAGTATGCTATATCTGCTATTCTGGCCTCCTAATCCTAAAACAACTCCTAGCCATCCCTAAACCAGGACATTGTACCTCAGAGACAAAACCAACCTAACCAATGTCAACCATAGCTGATCTCTTCTCGCCTCCTTGCAGCCCCCCCCGGTTCACCATTGGAATGCCTTCCACCCTCAGCAAACCCCAAATCTCTCTACAAGGCCTCTCACTCCTGCCATTACAGGTTACAGGGCAATGCCCCAGCTCCGGCCAGCGTCGTTCTAGCATCGGCAAACCAAGGGCACAGAACAGAGCAACTCAGTAAATATCAGTACAGGTTCATTCATCTTTGAAGTTCTATATCCCGAATGTAAAAGAAGGCTAGAAGCTGCTAAAATTTCAGAGCACAGAAAAGCTTAATATAACAATAATCAAATGATGATACTAATGATGATGAAGATGACGATGATAAAAATGAATATGATGATGATGAATAAGTGTATCGAAGAGTATATTATAACAACACTTCTGGCCTCTTAATCCTAGACCCTCCCAGCCCTCCCTGCACCAGGACATTACATCTCAGAGACAATACCCTCCTAGCTAATGTCTACCATAGCTGACCTGTTTTCGCTACCTAGACTAACCTTGGCCCCGTAGATAGTCAAAGACAGCCCCCCCGGTTCGCCAATGGATTGCCTTCCTCCCTCGGCTAGTCCCCAGATCTCTCTACAATGCCTCACACTCCTGCCAATTGCAGGTTACAGGGCAACGCCCCAGCTCTGGCCAGCGTCGTTCTGGCATCGCCAAACCAGGAGCAACGACAAAGCAACTATGAAGATATCAGTCCAGATCCGATCATCTCTGAAATCCTATGTCCTGATTAAGGAAGGAGGCCAGATACAGCCAAGAATTACCGCACACCAGAAAGCATGAAATAACATAGATGATGATGATGATGACGTGGATTTTGAAGATGATATGATTCAGAAAAAATCTCCTCTCTCCCTTCCTTCCTCCATTCTTTCCATTCCCTTATCTATCCCTTTACCCTAATCTGCCCCCGCTGGGATTTGATGCCCAGCCCCAGAAAAGAGTAATCCTCACAATCTGCCCAATCGCCCTCCAGGGTTTCACCACCAACCTAATGAAACCCCTGTAGAGCTGGGCTCTCCCCCCCCCCCTCACTGAAATGTCATTCACTGAAATGTCATTCACTTAGATTTTGTAGGATTTTGTTGATGACAAAGGACAGTCCCCTGAAAGTAATGATAATGAGGTTGATGGTGACGACCCACTCACCTGCTGAAGCGAAAGGCAAACAATGCCTTAAAAAGCAAAAACATCCTCGTAATGGTAATAATGATACTGATTATGATGATGGCAATGACGATGATGATGTTGATAAATGATACTGATGATGATGCTGATGCTGATGCTGATGATGATAACTATGTTGATGATGATAATGATGATGATGATGATGATGACGCACCAAAGATGATGCACAATGATAATGATGATGATGATAGTGTCAGTAATGCTTTTGCTGCTACTGCTGCTGCTGCTGATGATGATGATGATGATGAAGATGATGATGATGATGATGACGCACCAATGAAGAGCGCTGCTGCTGCTGCTGCTGCTGATGTCAATAACACTGCTGCTGTTGTCAATAACGCTGCTGATATCAATACCGCTGCTGCTGTTGTCAATAACGCTGCTGATGTCAATAACACTGATGAAGATGATGATGATGATGATGATGACGCACCAATGAAGATGTCAATAACGCTGCTGCTGTTGCTGATGATGATGGTGATGATGATGACGCAAGTTTGCCGTACCCACTCCGCTGGAACCAATAAAGCACGCAGCCTCCATACTGATGATGATGATGACAAGGATCTTAACATGACCATCCTAGATGAATTCTCTGATTCCTTGGGACGGTGGTCTTGGGCGTCAGTGTGCATTGAGGATATTGAATGGACATTTGCATCAATTTATGCTCCGGTAGACAGACGGGAGAAAATTCAATTTTTTGGCACCCTCCCGAAGGTAATACCGAATAACAGGAATTTGGTGTTGGGGGGGGATTGGAACACAATCCTGGACCTCGCCTTGGGCTCTTCCGCCGCAGATCCTATCAGGAATGACACCATGACACTGTGGGATATGGTAGAAAGCATGGAGCTATTAGACCCCGTTAGACAGTTATATCTGCAAACGGCAAAATTCACATGGGTATCCCACACCCCCAGAGTGGATAAAACCTATACCAAGCTTAGAATGTATTTTTTCTTGGTAAGGGATAAGGCAGCGGACTGGGCCATGGAGGTCTCCATGCCGTTTGACTCTCTATCGGACTACAGACCAGTGATGATTTCCTTTGTCCCTGATGGCCACATCATTCGGGGCAAGGGATACTACAAATTGAATACAGAAACACTACGGGACAAGGGGCTTGTGACGTCAATCAGGAAGTCACTGACCAAGTTAAGGGAATTAAGAGACTTTTATGATTCAAACACAGACTGGTTGGAGGCCTCAAACAGGATGGCAGCAGATGACCTGAGTTTTGCCTCCCGTATTAAAGCCTCCAATATGCGGAAAGAGGAGGATGTGACGCGCAACCTCACGCCTTGCGCTGCTTTCCGTTCGGAGTGCTAAGGGTGCGGAAAGGAGGCCCCGAAAAACAGCAAGATGGGGTGCGCCAAGGATTTTTGGAAAATTGAGTGTGGGGACATAAACAGAACTGAAATCCCCCGTGTTGGTCTGATGAAGTGAGCGATCTGGCGGGTTTCGCCGCGCGCGGGGTTCGCGACGCGGGGAAGTTTTGAATTCAATCCAAAAAGTACTGTCAGTCATCCCACCGGGCCACGGCTCGTTGTTTGGAGTGGAAGGGAGCGGGCACGTGTTTAGTATCCCGTTTTCGCACTATCTCCCGACGCCGCACGCTACACAATTCTGAATCCGACGTGGATGGTCTCAATCGCGTGGCCCTTTCCTTGTGCTCGTCCTCGTTCCGCGTCCGGTAATGGAACCCCTTCGACTGGTAGTGATCGAAACGTTGGCAATCACTACACAAGGTGTTAGGCCAATGGGGTGTCACTGCCGACCACGGGATGACGATCAACTCGTTAAAGGGTAGTAGTAGCGAGTACGGCGGAAAGTGTGTATCCACAATGACAAACCCAGCGCCTACGAACCCAGAACACCGATTTTCAGGAGGGAAATAGTACTGCCCACCGATCTTTGCGACGGCTTCTCGTATATCCCACTCACAGATACGCGTCCTATCCTCATTATACGAGAAGGGGCGGAGAGGGGATACGGGAGGCTGTCGCCTAGTCGGGTTGAGCCCGTTAGTCCACATGGCAAACAATCAGAAATAATTTAACCATTCATCGCGTGCATGCAATCCTAGTAATCCAATCGGAAAGGCCAAACAGGAGAAACAGAGGGTGCGGAGAAGGAAAAAGGAAAGCTCATGTGTGGCGAGACGCGGTCGCTATTTTGTGCTTAGATCGTGCGTCGCATATGTACTCACAACATTCCTTTGACAATCACAAATCAAAGCATTCTTGCATTTCCAAATCCCAACAACATTGCCCCTGCCATCGATTCGCCCTAATCAAGATGGGTTTCGTACCCGTTCATTCCTATCTTCCATGCATGCATTCACTGTGGAAGGTGCGAAAATGGCAGTCATGCAATTTCTCAACAAGGTGGTGTTAAGGGAAGAATCCTTAATGGTTGATGCCCGCGCATCCACCGTTCACAAGACAAAACCTACTAGTTCGGGGGACTACCCAGGAAACTAATGGAAGAGTTCCGGAAGAAATCATTCCAACGTAGTCATCATACTCATTCCATCACGTACCAACTTTTACGTAGAACCATTCACATCAGGAAGAAGGAGAAGGATAACTGCGACAGACACAGACGGGGATATCAAGATCCGAGGGAAGAGTTACACGGAGATGGGGAGAGGAAAAGAAGGTTCGGCTTTACCGCCGCAAGGTCACACCAAAGAATAAATTCGTAACCAAGAGGGTGCACTTGCCATCAAATTCCAACACGACATCGGGCCAGTCATCCACTCAATTCAGATCACCTGTCCGCATTCTGACATCGACGATCCCGACCGTCGTGCGTCATTCTCCACCACTGCGATCGTCACCCCGCCAACTTAGTCTCGACGTGGCTTGCCTGGATCCCACAGTCCGTCGTGGCGATCTAGCGCACCACCCAGTCAGCTCGTCAAGACTTTTCAACTCGCACCGTACACATCACCTAGCCACTACTTCCCGGAAGTTGGCCGATGAGTTGAGAGAGAGTTTTGCAGGGGCGCCGGCGGAATTTATAGTTGCGAGAAGGGAGAGAGATGCGGAGAAGGGCGAAGGGTGAGGCAGAGGAGGGCATAGGAGAGTTTGAGAGTGACCGCCCGTCGAAAGCCATGTTGATCCCTCCTAACTCGACCTCAGCCAATCAGAATCGTCGTGCAGTAAGAACTTACACGACGCTTCTCCTTGACTGAATGGGGAGAGAGGATCGACTGGGTTTTCGAGCGCGGATCTTAGAGCGGGAAGAAGAGGAGCGCGAAGGAGCACGAAACGGGGCCAAGATTCAGATGATCAAGAAGGAGAAAAAGGGCGCGCTTTGAGAAAGGGAGGGAAAAGCAGTTACAGGAGGAGGGAGCGAGAAAGCATGCGTGCGAAAAGAGGTGATGAGAGGAGCGCGGGGAGGAAGGAGAAGGGAGCTTGCTTGCATGGCGCCGGTCAGCAAGAGGGAAATGGGCACCGAAACAATTGCAGTTTTTTCCAATCCTATGCTAATTCAAAATTGAAAGTACCATATCCGCGCGCAAAACAGGCGCGGGAAAGAAAATCTTCCGTCGATCCATATTCGTACAAGAATTTCCCAGAGTCTTCAAGGTCGAGGCCGAGAACATTCGCGCGCGGAAGGTTGCGCGGCATTCCGATAATTCCGGGATTTCTAACTGCCGAGCCAAATTCCAAGCGCACTCGCTAAGGCGCGCGAAATTCCCATGCATTTTCAAAACCATAAAAGAAGGAAATTGACAGATTCCCCCAAGGCACCTTTAACCGGGCACAGTCAGAAAGGGGAGGGGGGGGGGGGGGGTCTCGGGGTCGAACTGTACACATCTGGATACAAAGAAAACACGGGAAAAAGGAAGGGGTCCGAAAGATGGCGCAGATCCGGAAGCTAGTACGTCACTCTGTGGCCGAAACATTGAACGGGCGGAAAACAAAATGGATTTGGAACCACACAATAGTAGTTGGTGGCTCTCGTACAGGAACCAATGGAAAGACAAAATAGAAAACATGCAGATCGAGAAGGAGAAAATCTGGGCTGAACGTACTAAAATAAAGTGGTTGGATGTTGGGGATAGGATGTCAAATGAGAACTTCAAAAGGCTATCCAAAAGAAAAGGACCGTCATTAATCGTAGAGTTGGAACACCCGTTCGACACTTTCGAGCCCAGGGCCCGGGATACCAAGACCATCTTGGAATACACTAGGTTATATTTATGGACATCCTAACCTCCACTAGATCAGTCTGTCCGGACCCTCGTGACATTGAGTTACAAGCGATTCTCTGGAAGACCTTTGAAGCACGCCTACCCACCCATGGTAGACTGGATCTAGACAGACCCATCACCCTAGAAGAACTTAATCACACTTTGAAAAGTATGCAGAAGGGGAAATGCCCGGGCAGTGATGGGCTTCCGGTGGAATATTATGAATGTTTTTGGGAGATCTTGGGGCCGGTGCTAGTAGACATTTTCAACAATATTTTAACGGGCCAAGATTTGGGGACGGAAATGAGATTGGGTATTATCTCACTGCTATACAAGAAGGGGGATAAGAGAAATATACGCAACTGGCATCCTATCTCCCTACTTAACACATCCTATAAGTTCCTAGCTAAGGCCTTGGCCAACAGGCTTAAGCGGTACTTGCCGGATTTGGTGGGAGAGGAGCAGGCTGGGTTTGTGGAAGGAAGAAATATACTCAACAATGTTATGCTAACAATGGAAGCTTTAGAAACAATGAGGGAGGACCAACCGGGGGTAGTGACCCTCCTCCTCGAGTTGGAAAAAGCGTACGACAGGGTCAATTGGCAATTTGTGCTAGATACCCATCAGTTGGCCGGAATGGGAGAATCATTCTGCTCATGGGTGAGGGCGCTGTACACTAAAGGGGTGGGGAAAGTAATGGTAAATGGGGAAATCTCTAGTTCTTTTCCACTCACCCGATCCCTGTGGCAAGGGTGTCCGCTGGCCCCTTTGCTGTTCGTCATCCAGATGGAAGTACTCTTATCATCGATTAGAAAAAATCCGGACATTCGTGGCCTACGACTGCCCAATGGGCAGGAATGTAAGGCTTTGGCCATGGCCGATGACCTTTTTGCCTTGTCAGTCAGTTCCAAAGAGTCATTAGGTGCCCTCAAAACCTGTCTCGATCCATACTCACAAATTTCCGAAGCCCTAGTTAACTGGCCAAAATCTACCGCAATCCCCATGGATGGGACTCAGTTGTCTGTGGATTGGGGCCTGAAGTGCTTACCTGTGGGTAAGTGTGAGTGTTTCTTGGGAGTGCAGGTGAGCGTTTTAGACAGCAAGAAGACATCCAGCAATCTGGTGGAAAGAGCGGTCATCTCCAAGATCGGCAAAGTGGCAGCGGTCAAGGGTACATCTATCTTTGGAAGGGCGATTTTTTCTTGAAAGCTGCGGTTTTCTCACAGATATGGTACCCCGGAGCTATGAGGAGTTTGGAACCCAAAGCTTATGGCAAGATCAGATCGGTGGCTACAAGGTATCTATGGAAAGCAACGGATGATGAGGGAGTGGGGTACACCGCCAAACTCGCATGGAAAAAGGTAGTGGGGAGTAAATCAGATGGGGGCTTGGGAATTAAAGACCCGGAAATGCAGGTGAATGCACTCCTGGCCAGATGGGTGTTAAAGCTACTTTATGCAGAAACTGGTCATCCGTAGGTGGAGCTGGCGGTGGCTATTCTTATGAAGGAGTGGGGCTTATGCAGGAGGGGGGATGTGTGGTTGGCCCGGCTCACGCCCTCCTTAGTGAAAGGGCCCATCAGTTCCCCGGTCTGGAGGGACATTCTCCGCGCGTGGTCCCAACTCATGCCGGTGCAGCTCCAGGAACCACGAACCAGGGAGGAAATTTTAGCTCAGCACATCTTTGAGAACATTTCTATCTGCGATGACACTGGGATTCCCTGGCCCGCTTGTGATGGCACCGGTCACTTTGGCAAGAGCTGGATCCAAAGAGGAGTTGCGAGGGTATCAGATTTATGGAACGCAGACCTATTGCAGTGGAGATCTGCAACTGAGCTCAGAACTAATCTGCACCATCTCTGAGGGAGGTTCCAGTAAGGCTTGACGGTATACTGTCCAGCATCCCGCAAGTATGGAAGGATACTCTTGAAGATCCTGGTCCGGCATACGAGGGCCAGTGGGTGGTGGAAGGTGGGAACACAGCTCCCGTTGAAGTATGGAAGGTCCTGGCCTACTTAGATCAGGAGCAGGCAGCGGTCACCTCGTTTTCAGTATCCGAAGAGGGTCAAGGAGCCACCTGGTGGTTGAAGGAGAATGAGGACAAGGTGGTTCTGATGCAACAGGTTGCCTCTATCATAGTCAACTCCAAGAATACCCCCAAAGATGGAGTGTTACATTATTGTCCCATGGGGGTAAAGCCGGTTAACAAGCTGAGGGCAATCCCCTCACAATGGGGTTGGCACCTATTTGAACCCTCTAGAGTGAGGAACTTGTTGGAATACTTTCCTACAGTGGGGTATCAAGTTCAAAGCAAGTCTTGGTCCCTACCATTAGGGGTGTGTAATCGATGGCAAATGGAAGGGTGCTACCTCGTCAACATCGCTAAGAAGCTGTGGAGAAGCCTCAAACGGGTTCCTTCCGCCAAACTGGGTAGTTTGATGTGGCTGCAGTCTCACAGGATTGTGCCGACTGCAAGCTGGCTCGGGGCAAATAGGGTACAACTGGACACTCAGTGTCGCAGATGCAGACGAGCAGAAGAAACAGCCATGCACCTGTGGTGGGGCTGCATTGAATCCAAAACGATATGGGTCTGGTGGGCTGGCCTCTGGCTTGTACACGTTGAAGACCAGATACAATGGGATGAATGGTTTGTGGCCGAAGGCATCCTGCAAAACGCGGAAGCAATAGGCCAGGGGTGGGAGTGTGTAGCCATAGCTTGTAGGGCGGCTGGCGTACAGGTTATATGGACACTGAAAAATGATAGTGTTCAAAAATAAATTATACTCTGACAGGGACATCAAGAACATGGTCCTTGATGGGTTACGGTCCTTGGTATGGGCAGATTGGAGGCGCTCTTGAAGAGCTTGTAGTAAGAAAGCAGTCAGGGAACGTTTCTTTCGGAGCTGGGGTCAGAAAGTTAGATTCTTTAAATTAAAGACCACGGGCATCGTGTTGGAACCTTGGCTGATGGGGCCCAGACCTCCGTGAGTAGTCAGTAGTGTTCTGGGTACCTATACTTCGAGAGTAGTGGAGGTCCAATCAAGCCCGGTGAGAGATTACTCTGATTTTTAAGGATGACATACAGGAATCTAGGCTGATGCTATAATCTCCAGTGGGTGTATCATCTCAAATTCTTAAGACGATGCCTATGTACTGGATAGGACTGGGATTCAAGGCTTGATCTGGCGCCAGAACGGCGAGAGGTCCTAAATACCTGGGACAGCAGAAGAGTAAGTTGGATGAATATGTTGTCTTTGGTTCTATGATTGTTCCGTAAGGGACGCTGGACTCGGTTTCCAGCAGGTGCAGCTCCCCACGAATAGACTGGAGCCATCTATCATCGCCCGTCCCTATCACTTGGGGCTCTTACACCCAGGTGGCAGGGGCTGAGGTCGGCCTGATGTTAAACCAAAAAAAAAAAAAAAAAAAAAAAAAAAAAAGGTCGTTTGTATTTCAATTGTACAAAACATATTTTTTTCCCGCATTTTTTTTTTTTTTTTTTTTTTTGTGCTGGGGCTGCCCGGAACCCTGCCCGGGGTTCATGCCCGGCCAGGCACCCGGACGTGCACCCGGGCATAAGTTGGGTGCCCGGGCACCCGGAAAAACAGCCTAACCTCTTTGTGATATTTTCAGACAGTTTCTTAGTTTTTTTTGTTTTACAAAGCCCCTTCTATTCTGGGCGGCATCAGTCCGGTTACTTATCATCAGCAAGCATGTTGTACAACATAGAAAAACGTGAGAAAGATGAGAAGAAGGACCAGCCCAGCCCTTGTGGTAGTAGACGCCTAAACAAAAGGGGGGGGGGGGTGCTTTAGAACTCCCATCTCCCAACCTTGATCCCTTCTCGGGGGGCAGTTCTACTGGTCGGGACGCTTACTAGCAGTACCGAGCCACACAGTAGATCAGTCCTCAGGGNGGGGGGGGGGGGCATGGCACCAGGGGGAGGTGTTCTGAGTAGTCCCACAGGCCGCATACCAATCTTTCCCTATCTCTGATCCTATCCTACCTAAATCATCTCCATCCCAACTCTACCCCCTTATTCGTTTCGTTTTGCGGTCACACAGTTCATCATTTTCTAACGTTCGTTCCCCTTCCCCCAGTCCCGTCCTACTATACTATCACCCACTGTATAACGTTCCTTGCCCTTCCCCCAGTCCATCCTGCTATGCCATCACCCACTGTATAGTATTTGTCTAAACCAAAAGTCTCTTCTGTTCCAGCCAGTCCACCTTATGCCTGCTGAATGTATATCCCCCCAGCTCTTCCATCCTCTGTTTCTTCGATCACTCTGCAGTCAAATATGTCCCTATTACATACGTCGTCCTCTATTCAGTATTTAGTATTTACCCTTTGATTTCTGTTTTTTTTTTTTTTTTTTTTTTGACCGTTTCTCGTCTTGTGCTCGTCTTCCTTAGGCAGGGGCGATGCTTTTCTTTTCTGTATCATTCCCGTATTGAATTATTAATAGATGTCCCCAACGACATTTCGGACTGTTCCTAACACATTGTTTTTAATGATGTTACGGGTTTTCTGCCTCTGCAGGTTGGAAATCATCCCTTGGTCAATTCAAAGAGGGAAAGGACGGTGAGTCAGCATGATGATGTGGAGCATGTGGCAGGTTTCTCTGGCTTAAGCTGTGCTGCTGTTATGACCTCAACTGTTGCAAGACCACAGGGTGATAGTGATCTCACGGTGGCAGTCCAGGCAACCGCAAACTTTCAGGTTCAAGAAGCAGATACTTGCAGGAGAGCGGATGGTATGGATGAGCCCAGTGGTGTTGCCCACCAGGCAACAGCACGTGAACGAGTAACGGAAGCCAACCTCTTTTCTGAGGGGAACGATCATCAGTGTTGTGATGCGGATGATGATAGTGCACTCAGCAGTGTTGAAGATGACACCGATGACGACAACAGGGTTGACCGTGATGATAATCATCGTGGTTGTGGCGTGTATGGAGTTGGTGATGAGGATGGAGATGGTGGTGGTGGTGGTGACGAGGATGGTATTCGTGAAGGTAATGGCTATGGTGTCGACGAGGACGCTATTCATGATGAAGATGGTGGGTATGTTGGCTTCGAGGATGGTATTCATGAAGATGGTGGTGCCTGTGGTGGTGACGAGGGAACCCTCGGTTCCGCAGATCCCAAAGATTTCAACGCACTCAAAGAATCCGTGGACGGTGGAGAGGCTGTGATGGAAAAGTCAAAATCTGCCTTCAAGTATGCGGCATTATTGGGGGAAACAGTACGAGCGCCTTGTAGCAAAACCGGCACCCAAAAAGCCAGCCTGCTTAGCGAAGAACAAGGAAAAAGAGCAGAGCAATCTGAGATAGTAAAGACCGTGGATGGAGAACAGGAAAAGGCGCAAAGGCTTCGAGAGATCAAGGACGGACATGTGTGCGGCAGTCGACTGTTAGCTGACAAATGTGCAGTCGGGAGATCGGAACAGGGACATCCGAAGGCAGAAACCCGCGCAGACAACTGGACCAGGAACAGCCAAACTTATCCGAAGGAACGGAACATAGACCGCCAGGCAGGTGCAAGGGTGTACCAGGAAAGGACAAACGGTCAAAATGAGCAGCGATATGGTAAAAGTGAGAAGCAACACATGGAGGCAGATTGTGGTGTGTCTAAGAAGGGCTGCCCACTTACTGAAAACAGGTTGAACCGAACAACCACAGAGCTTCAGTTGAAATGGAGTCAACCTTGTGCTGTGAGCAAGGAAGACGGGCCCAAGCATATCTCATCCCGGTATACAGAGTTGATGCCTGACATGTCTGCAGGCCAGCGTGAACGAGGAGACTCTGGGAGAAAAGCCACCACGGAGGAGGCAATACACACTCTCCATCCAGCAACCATTACTCCCATGCCTATTCTACCCTTACGAGGACAATCCGAGAGAGAAGCCACCACAGAGGAGGAGATACACACTCTCCATCGAGCAACCACTGCCGATATACCTGTTCTGCCCAAACGACGAGAGTCTGAGAGAAAAACCACCACAGAGGAGGCGACACATACTCTCCGTCAGCCGACCACTGCTGACACACCTGTTCTACCCAGACGAGGAGAGTCTGGGAGAAAAGCCACCACAGAAGAGGAGACACACACTCGCCGTCTGGTGACCGCTACTCGCATACCTGTTCTACCTACCGAGCCGCAGCCAAAGTCCCAGCGCCTGTCCACCCAGTGTCCAGATCCTCCACTATTGTCCCGTCTTTCACTGATGACCCTGGTCGCAAACATCAATGACAACTGGGAACAAGCAACAGCAGTCGGCCCAAGAAAGAGAGTTTCTAGGAATGCTACAGAAATATACCTGTCATCCAGACGAAGGGTGTATCAAGAGATCGTCAAGCTGGAAGAGGAAGGTCTGCAGCTTGTCGAGCGGACAATGGGAGGGCCTGTCGATTTGATCCTGACGTGTTCATCTTGCCTCGTTGTTTACACTGCTGAAAGGCTCCATCTGGACTCCACCATGTTCCTGCAGACCCTGGACCAACCCGCTGGTTCTCCTTCCCATCCCCCACCTGCAGGTGGTCCAAGCGCTTCGACTGCCGCAAGAGCAAAAGTATCATCCTGTTGCAAGAATATTATTGACCATCACATTGCACCTGTAAGCTCGGCCTTTGAGAAATGTGCGATGGTAAGTTGCGAATCCCGACGTTATTTCCGCTCCGCACCACAAATAGATGGGAGCTTTGTTTGTCAGACTTTTTCTTCTTTTCTTTTCGTCCGAAAAAGGAAAAGAAAAGGAACAAAGGATCTTGGCATCATAGCACAACAGTCCTCCTCCTCTTTGTCTATCGTCTTTTCTTGAACGTCTTCCCATTGCAGGCAGAGTTAAGCAAAGTCCAACAGGCATACCAAATTGGGTAAGGTGCTGAAGGTGCATCCAGAAAAGGTTATATATTAGGTGCCAAATATACATATGAAAGTCCGCGTTGGCTTATCCACACCTTATCCACACCTTATCCACACCTTATCCACACCCATTTGCCAAATATGTGTATGGAAGTCCGCGTTGGCTTATCCACACCTTATCCACACCTTATCCACACCTTATCCACACCTTATCCACAACTTATCCACACCTTATCCACACCTTATCCACNTTATCCACACCTTATCCACACCTTATCCACACCTTATCCACACCTTATCCACAACTTATCCACACCTTATCCACACCTTATCCACACCCATTTGCAAACTTTGTCCCAGACTGGCTGGAGACAGATGTGGGTGTATCCACACCTAATCCACACCCATCTGTAAACTTTGTGCCAGACGGGCTTACCCGTAGGTAATTCAGAATGTCCGTTGCTGGCTTATCCACAGATTATCTACAGGTAATTCAGAGTTAGTGCATTTGGATTCGAAGTTGGGTCTGTATTTCAGCAGTTCATGGGTGTCAACGGAGCTATGTCCGTTGCTGGTTTACCCTCCTAACCTTATCAACAGATTCCACACCCATCTGTAAAATTTCTACAATAGGGGCTGGAGACACGTGCAATTATCCACACTCCAGACCCATTTATAAACTTTGTTCCCCACCGGCGGGTCACACACGTGGGCTTATTCAGACCTTGTCAACATTCATCTGTGAACTTTGAACCAGTCCAGCTGGAGGCATGGTCATCCACTCATGTAAGCCGGTACTAGCAGGACCTTCGCCGACTTTGTTGGCAATGAAGTAGTGTTAATGCATGCCTGGCGTGGTGGAGTTCCGCTGCCCCCAACGCCCCCCCTTGGAGCAGAACGCCAAGAAAGGATAAGCCCAAGGCAGTTCTTTGATCACTCAAAATGGGGGGGGTGCGAGCTCTTGTTGGGGTTTGTTGTTGGTTGTTCTCACACTCTGTCCAGTGGAAACATGAGCTCGCCAAATGTCAATCAAGTGCAGCATGCATACAGAAAAGGATTGCCCAAGATCCCAAATGAAGAAAGGGATAGTCAAGCACTGAACGAAAGGACAATCCGCACACATCTCCTAGACATCAGAGGACCGAATGCCAGTCCATGTAGACAGACATGCAGGTCATTGCAGGCAAGGACTTTCGGGGAGGGCAAACCTGGCCGCAAAGATTGCTAAAAGAAATGGGGGCAGGGCAGGGGGTCGGGAAAATGAATATGGATTCTCAAGCAAGAGGCCAAGTGCAGATTGATGAGGCGATCCTTGGTGTTTCGGATTGATGAGGCAATCTTTGGTGATGTTTTCTACCATCCTGGAAATGTTTAGAATACGGTTGTTGTGACGACAACTGCAGACAAGGAGGACCTTTGGGTTGCCACACAGATCCATCCAATGTTTTAAACCACCAGTACATTTCCCAGCTAAAAAATTGAAGTCACGCGGTGCATGCTGCCGCGGCTCTCGGGAAGTACTGGGGTGCTGCCGTTTCACGCTACATCCACCCAGGCAAACGGGTCGGATGCAAGGCCCGTTTTGCCGGGATGGATGTCCAGTGAAACGGCGGCGCCCTGGTACTTCCCGAGAGTTGCGGCAGCATGCACGCCGTGGCTTTGATTTTCTAGCCGGGAAACATACTGGTGGTTTAATAGAAGCCCTCCCCAAGTGATTTCTCTTCCATTACAATATCGCCCAACACCTACCTGCATTCAGAGGCCCTTCCAGATTCTTTCTGCTTTGTCCCACTCCGTCCGTTTCCAATGGATCCTTGTGCATAGTACAGATTCTACAGAATGATTTCAATTTTCAACTAATGCTCTTGACGGCATCCTTTTTAAACCATACTGATTCCAACCAAATACTCTTGCCCGGAACCTTATCCATATCGATTTCCAATTTTCCACCATATGGTTTCCAGCTTTCGACAGGGTTCTTGTCCATATTGATTTCCTTCCACCATATGGTTCCCACTGAATCCTTACTTATACCGACTTCAACCAAATACTCTCCAGTGAGTCCTTTTTTTTCCTTTTTTTTTTTTTTTTTTTTTTCCGAACCCCCTAACTTCGGACGATTTCTCAATTTATGTGTGTCGTCCTTGTGCAGGGGCTCTTCGATGAACCCCTGTTCAGAATACTTCATATTGATTTCAATTTTCAACCATGTGCTTTTTGCTGGATCCCTATCCGTGTTGCTTCAACCATATGGTTTCCACTTCTTGTTTATCCATCCATATTGATGTCAATCGTGTGGTCACTTCATCCTTATCCATGTTGATTTCAACCATATGGTTTCCACTCGATCCTTCTAGGTGCTAAGTTCACCCATATGGTTTCCACTTGACCCTTCTGCTGATTTCTAGCATTTCGCAGATTAGGGGCAAGAGCAACATTCAAAAGTTTATATGTTTCTGTAATCCAGAGTCTGCAATCGACGGCTTGTCTATAATTGTGTACGGTGTGGCTACTTGTAGCCTGCAGTACTGATTTTTCTGAAAGGTAGGGAAATTAGATGGGGGAACTAGATCTGTCTGTGTGTTCTTTATTTAATCCAGCTGGAAGAGACTGTTATTGACACTGGAACTCGGATCGATCTCCTTGCTGTTTGTTTGTTTGTTTGTTTGTTTTTTAATTGTTAAAGGGTAATCCTTTAAACCACCAGTACCTTTGGCGTCCGGTTTCGACAAGTCCTGGCCAGTAGCCGAACTTTTAGGAGGTCGAGTCCGACGTCGATCAATCTGATCGGCGGCCGTCGTTTCGTTCCGGCCTCCTGAAAGGTCGGAGGCCGAGTATTTTCGAACCGACAAAGGTACTGGTGGTTTGCCCAACCAATTCAATTACCTGTGAAATCTGGACAGGATGGCGTTTCAGGCCTTTTTTTTGCTGTTGCGCGGACCACATGTCATGTTCAGTTTTATTTTTCTGTTTTTCTGTTCTTTTTTTCAATTTTAAAAAGAAAGATCATCTTGGCTTTGCTCCATTCTACTCTGCACAGCATCAGTCTGGTTCCTATGATTCGGGGGGAATGGCAGGAAGTCAATTACAGTATGGTAATACCCTCGACCAATTCACCAGGGTACCCTCTTCAACACTTCCCCCTAGTTACGGCCAGGTGAACCTCTGACAGCAGTGATTGATAACTCGCCTTCCGGGAGTAGGGAGGGTGCCCAATCTCAAGTGCAATGTGCTTGGGCTGGCGGTGTGATCCAAACATCTGCAAGGTTGTGGTGTGCCCAGTAGCAAGTTGAAATTCTGCAAGCCATTGTGCGTCGGTCAGACAGGAGAGGAATCAGCCACCCCAGCCCTGTTTTTGCGAGCAGAGTCTACCTTTTGTCAGAGAAGCAACACACACACATGGCTGAGTGGGTGTGTAGAGTGGGTTTTATTATTGTGTCGGATTAGTTTCTCAGACTATGATTGTGTCGGATTAGTTTCTCAGACTTACTGTCGTTCTTGTCAGGAGTTTGAACCGGTACTTCGCACTTTGCTAGGATTGCGGGGTTGGTGTGAGTAAAGTCGAGCACTCTTCTCTCTCAGGGGTATCGCTAACTCTGGGCGATGTGGTGAGTCCTTGTCCATCAGTCAAATGCATCCCCGGCAGACTGTCGGGGTTCAACCTCCTGATGATCAGTGAAAGTCCGACGAAAAACAGTCTGGCACAGTCATGCTTGTTTTGAGTGTATGGCGAATATGACAACACACCCGCAATGAACAGGAATATACCTTCCGCTTTACGCTGCCTCCTTTCATAGCACGCAAGTGGGCCGTTATGGCACACGGGGATGTGCACTCAACCACAATCAACGTGGCAAGTCTTGTATGTTGGAGGCACAGGAAAAGGGGAGTGCAAGAACAAATAAAAGGGGTACCCCAAAGAAAGCCGAAGTAAAGATAATGAAGAAAGGGATATAACGGATCTGTTGCTGTTGTGCTTCATGCGGTTTGCTATGGAGGTAAAACTGTTTCATTGTTGGATTGGCTCAACTTTAGTGTGTTTCATTGTCTGCAATGGATCGGCAAATATAGAGCTAAAGCTGCTTCGACAAGGGGCTTCTGTGCTTACAATTTATAACACGCACGCACACCCACCATACACATGAGAGGCCTTGCACAGCTCAGAATATAATACTGAACCAGTCGTTTCAACCAAAACATCACATGGTAAGATCACATCCTAAGACTTCCAATTATGATAGCTATGCAGCCAGGTGGAAAAGGGTTTGCTATGGTGATGGTTTAAGACAGACAGACACACACACATGGAGAGAGAGAGAGAGAGAGAGAGAGAGAGAGAGATGTGCTGGATGTCGATCCACTTCTCCATGATCATGTGTTCTCTCTTGTCTATCTCCTCATCTCTCTCTGCTCTGTCTTCTTGGCTCCTTTCAAATGATGAGACATTTGTGTCTGATGTGTGTGCACATTTGTGTGTGTGTGTGTGTGTGTGTGTGTGTGTGTGTGTGTGTGCGTGTGTGTTAGTCAGGATCCCCAAACTTTCTCTCTCAATCAATCCTCATACCATCACAAATCATCCATAAACAAAGTAAGTATTGATAAGCGATATAATAGAAGGTGCAAGGTTCCCCACGTTTGTGTGGTTGAGCAGGAAGTGCCCAGACACCCGTCTGCCACCGAAGCGGCACACTTGCACACATAAATATATATAAAACAGATATATGTATATATCTATATACATATATATATACATATATATAGAGAGAGAGAGTCAAACAGAGCTGCCCGGTAAACCGTGGGCAGAGAGGGAGAAGAGGACAACAAACGAGGGGCTGTGACAAACTGTTGACAAACTGTTTCGTCGGAGTTTCACCGACTATGTATAGTCAAATAGAGTATATATATATATATATTCAGCCTCCTGATGAGTTGGCGAAACTCCGACGAAACAGTTTGTCACAGCCCCTCGTTTGTTGTCCTCTTCTCCCTCTCTGCCTACGGTTTACCGGGCAGTTCTATTTGACGATATATATATATTTCTAAGATCATAAAAGATTCAGATCAAATACAACCTTTCTCTTTAGAGAAACCATCAGA